CCTGCTGGACGTTAGGGTAGCGGAGGCGGCATGGGAGGTATGTGGCGGCGCAGGCGATGCAAGCCGAATCCTCGCGGTGCTCCGATGTACACAGCCACATTGCTTGGGCCCTGCCGTGCTGGATGTGGCCATGGATGCATGCCTGGCGTGCCAGCGTCGTCTCCTCTCCTCTCTCCCTCCGTCTGCTGGGGCAGGGGCAGCCAAGGGGGGTGAACAAAGGACGTTACGACAAGATACGCAGAGTAGGACGTCAGTAAGAGCCCTGGAGGCATCCTGCCCCAGTCAAGTGGGCGTCACGGTCCTGTCCGTGCTGCGAGAGGCTCGGAAACGGATCCATCGAGGCGGAGCAGGGGTGGGACCCGCGCACCCCCCCCCCCCACCACGACCATCACCACCACCTTCGTCAACAACGTCCGCCCTCGGCAAGGGGGGGTCTGCCCCAAAAGCCTCGACTGGGTCAGCGGAAGGAGGGGCATTGCCATCCCACCCTCCGGCCTTACTTTCCAGCCAGGGGTGGGAAACGGCCGCGGAGGCGCTTCCCTCCGCGGCTTTTCTCCGCTTGCTCCTAGGAGAGGCCAAACTGGCTGCTGCTTCCATGGCTCCTGTACATGTCGATCCTGCTGCCCCTGGCCGAGCGTCTTGCCCAGCGTCTCCCTCAGTGCCTCCCCTTTCCCCCCCCTCTAGTCTGTCCTTTCGTCCGCCCATGCTCCTCTTGTACGCACGCGCCATCCAGGCGAGTGTGGTAGCGAAGGAGATCGCCGAAGCCCTGCTCCTTTACAACGAAGCCCTTGCCCTGGTGGAGGGAGGGATGGAGGGAGGCAGGAAAGGCACCGCGGTTGCTCTTCGTAGCAGCAACAGCGGCAGCGACGGCAGCAGCGAGAGGCTCCCTCTCAGCATCCATGAGGCCGCGCTTGCCGCTCATGCTGTCCGGGGAGATTGGCAACAGGCGCTGGGGATCTTGGACCGGTTGCGGAAGGAGGACGGGCGGGAAGGAGGGCGGGAGGGGAGGGGGGGAGGGAGGGGGGCCCTCCCGTGGCCTGTTTCAACTCGGCTATCCGTGCGTGCTGTGTCGGGGATGAATGGGAGCGTGGGGTAGGGTTGCTGCGACGCATGGAACGGGCAGGGGTCAGGGCAAACGAGGAGACCTACGGGGTCATTTTGCAGGCCTTCCGGCGGACCGGGGCCTGGGAAGGAAGCTTGAAACTGGTGGAGTACGTTGGGGAAAGGGGGGGGGGAAGATGGTGTAGGGGCAGGGCAACAGCCCTTGACCCCCGCATTGGCCCAGGCGGCAGCCGAGATATGTCTCCGAGCCGGGCGGTACGCGGAGGCCCGGACGGTCGTGGACTCGGTCCTGAAGCCCGGCACCGGGCCTTTATCCTCTCCTCCCCCGACCCTCACCTCTGAGCACTTGGCTCTGGGTTTGTGGGCACTGGTCGCCATGCACCCTTCCACGGGCGGGGGGAGGGAGCGACAAGAGGAAGCTCATCGGTTGATCACGGCCTTGATGGCCTCCAACGTGCCCATTGCCCGGGCTACCTACGAACACGCCTGCTACATGCTGAGCCTCCATGACGCCACAGACGGCCCTGCGGGTACCCGGGGGTCCTCTGAACCCGGGCCCTCGTCCCGCGGCTACAAAGACACCCTGCGTCGTATTTACGGGCATGGAGTTGCGGCGGGGGTACTGCCTTCCATTGGCGAGGCCTCTGCCCCCGCCGTCCTTGAGCTGCGCGGGCTGGGGCCCACCCTGGCCCGGCTAGCCTTGGTCATGTTTTTGGAGACCTGGGGCCAGATTGCCTTTACGAAGGACGCGGAAGCATCGCCAGGATTGAGTGCCTCGCAGCCTGCCTCAATCGTTATAATAACTGGTCCTGGACGCTTAAAAGCGACGGTGCAGCAATTTCTGCGGAGGGCCTGCCTGCCCTCGTTGCGCACTCAGCCCCTGCCCTACAATCCCGGTCGACTGATCTTACCATTGACAGAAGTACAACACTGGCATGAGCGTGCAGGTATAGCCCGACTTTCATGGGAGGAAAGCAGGGAGGATTGTGTCGGATAAGAGGACAGGCATATGCTGCAATCACTGGGGTTGGCATACAAAAAGTAGGGAAAATGAAGAGCCTTGAGAGGCGAATGGATAAGTGTAAATATGCCATCAATAGAGTACTCAAATTAGCACGACGCCAGGCGATAAAAAGGTGAAAAAGTTACACGGCCAAAAAATGAAGCTTTTAAGAGGAAGGGCCTTCTTCTCAGAAGAGGGGATGGGCCACAGGTGCACACCTGTCTCTTGCCTTTTTCGTCTGTAGGCCCTCGTTGTCCACGTGCACCAATCTGTGTTGTGCTCACATCCATTCACGAGCTTGGTGGAAAGCGCGGCAGCTTGTACCCCTGTCTACTGCTGAATCTTGCTACGACTCATTTCCTTGCCATCTATAACTTTAACCTCCCCTATTGTCTTACCCATGTCACGTCCGCGTTATACCGGAAGGGTTCCGATTCCTGTGAACACGGCCACCAAAGCTGTCACTGTGTGAAAGACTGGGTAATCTGAGGCATTGGACTGGAGGACGGTGACCTGTCTGGGGCAGGGATGAAGGAATGCGTCCAGCATGGACTACTTTATCCATTTGACATGACGCTGACTGCCCTCAACCATTCTCTCTACACTTCCCTGCCTCGAACGCTTTTGATGAATAGCACTCTGTCGTTTTTCGAACAAACCTCTTTTTTGAGATAATTGTGTACAAGACCCTCACGAGTCGTTGTCATGCACGTTTCTCCAGGCTTTTCAGGAAGCTCGTGACCTTAGCTAGATCTGGCCACTGCCGGATCATAAATAGGAGTCTTGACTTCCTTCCCTCTCTTCATGCTGCCAAGACAAGCAACGATGCCTCCATTTTCCGGTAGACGGAGATCCAGAGCACTGGGACCATGTGAGCCACACCTGTGTCTCGCCTTTTGTCTTGGTGTTTTGGTGCATCGTCCTTTTTCTCTGGCCGCCGCTGCGAGGGATGCCCGCGTCCTCCCAGTGCCGGACGACAGGCCCACTTCAAGCCCCTCCAAACAACCATGGCACCACCACATGCGCCCGCTTGCATTTATGCATAAGTCTACCCATGTTCCCACGCAAATCTTAGTCTCCCAAAGGCCTGACAGGTGCACCAGCCCTGTGTGTGTGAGCGCGACTCCCACACATGCCTCTGAACACCCTTCATCACAAGCACCTCCACCAAAACCTCGCAAATCTACCTGGGAACGGGTCTCGAAGGTCTTCAACAAAGTTCAGGACATAGCACAGTCCGACGATTTCCAACGGCTTGCCCGCGGTACCCGTACTTTATTGAAAGAGATCGACATCGAGGTCCCTACCATGGAGCAAAATCTAGGCGCGCTCCGGCGGACGTTGGACCGCTCCCTTGGCTCCACGCTCCTTAGCTTCGAGAAGCTTCTGCAGCACTATGAAAGCCGATCGCCAGAAGCGGACGTCCTTTTATCTGTGGCCCGTAAGCGTGTCACAAAATTGGTGCGCCACGGCCTCCATCAACTCATGACCCCCACCGCCGTCGAATGGGCCATCTACGCCGTCAACAGCACCGCTCTCTTGGTGGAGGAGGAAGCTGCCCGGGTATTGGCCGCACAAGAAGGCTCGGCGGAGAACAGCTTGGACGTTCCGAGTTTCCAAGACATGCAACGGGAAGTGATGCGACGCATGGTGGTGGTGGCGGAGGACGTGGAGGCCTTGGCGCAGAACGTGATCCAGAACCGCTGGTTTCGGACCGGCTACAGCGACGAAGAACTGAAACAGTTGGAGGCGCTCTTGCATGCCCGGGTGGTCCCTCGTTTGCTCCTGGCCGTGGCGGCTGCGGTGTTGCATGGCTGGCGCCCTTTACAAGACCCGCTCCTGACCCTCCTCGTGGTGGGTTTTGCCTCGGGAAGCCTGAGCAAAAGCGTGGCTGGGAATCTTATGGAACTCTTCGAAGCTTCGTTGGTGGTGAAGGACGGGTGGGAGGGGAGCGGGAAGGAAGGGGAGAGGATTGTCGAGTCTTTCCCGGACGTCTGGAGGACCCGCGAGACGGCCGCTGAGATTGGCGAGGCCCTCTTCCGCCTCTTCGAATCCGTGGAACGCCGCAGTGCCATCCGGGTTGAGGCCCGTCAGGCCCGGGCTAGGGCGGCGGCATCGGCGGCCACTGGATCGATTGTAACGGGCACTGGAACCGCAGCGCTCCCTGACGAATCGAGTCCTCCAACGCACGTGGCCATCCCCCCTACTCCCGCATCCACCTCTCCCAGCTCCTTGCCGCCGGCCCCCACTTCTCTGCCATCTTCCTCTCACGCTCCATCGACCCCTTTGTCCGGGGAGAAGAAATTCATGGTTGCTTCCTATGCCTTACCCAACAAACTCACCTCTTTGTCGGGGGGCGCCGGCCCCCAGGCAGAAAGGGAGAGAGGACGGGATTCCGTATACTACCCGGCCTTTGAGAGCACGCGTCGTGGCAAGAGACTCCGCTACCTGGTCACGACGGTACATTTGACCCGTACATATTGGAAAACGGCCGCGACGGCCATGCTAGGGACCATGGGATTGGTCTTCCTCGCGCGGTTGTACGGCAGCCCTGTGGAATTGACGATTGGTGGAGATGAAAGGGTGGAGGGACGGGAGGACAGGAGAGAAGGACGAGGGAGGAGGCGAAGGGATGAGAGAAGGGATGGTTTGTTGTTCAGTACACCTTTGGAAGTGCTCGAGGAGGAGTGAGAGGAGCGCGGGCAGGGAAAGGAAGTCCATGAGAATGTAAGTGTATGTACAGACCCGCACATAAATTGCTTGTGTGATACAAGGCCATGAGGCTGTAATTTAAGCATATTTGTACAAGAAAAATAATCTTTGTAACCCACGTGTTTTCACGGAGGTAGTAAATTTTTACTTTTCGGTGGAGAAAATTTTACTCAAACGTAAAATACGCAGTCTTGCCAAATTTATTTTTTCTTCACCGTGCATTTCACCGGTTGATGTGGCGCACGAAGGTCATCACAACAAAGGTGCCGATCCGCAGCAACGATATATACAAAAGGAGGACGCCGATGTCCTTCCATTTGGCACCATAAGTAAACTCCCCCCCAAAGTGGTCGTAGATGTATTGGTCCGCAGGCGTGGCTTGGAGGCCATAGATGGGCTGCACGGGCGTCGAATCGCCTTCAAATTGGGACATGACGAGCCCTTCCAACATGTAATGTGACGGCACAAGGTAATACACAAACTTCCAAAACGGGGTGATAGTTCTGGGAGTGCACAAATACCCGCCGAAAAGATTCATGATGGCCGCAATGGAGGCGCCTGCCACCTGCGCAGTCTGTTGGTTGGGCAGCAAGCAAATAAGGAATTGCCCGATGAAGACCAAACACACGATGTAAAGGGCGAAAAATACCCAATAGTAAACAAATTTGCTAAAAGGCTCCGCAGCGAGTCCAATGAACCAATAGAAGACGTTGATGAACAGCCCCGTGCTCACGAAGATGTACGGCAGCTCGACCAGGCCGTAGGAGACCCCGTAGGCGAAGACACTGTACATCGAACTGGCTTGCTCTCGGTAGAAGGCCGCGCGTTCTTTTGCCATCACAGGCATGACGCTCATCATGTTCACGATGCCCACGAAGGACGTAGACAGGTACATAAGGCCCACCCGACCGACGATGTCGGTTTCGGTGTCGTAGGGTTTGTCGTGGAAGACGGATCCAAAGACTACGGCCACCAGGACCGAGATGAACATGCGCGTGAAATTGTAATTAGGGGACCGCCAATAGTTCTTGATTGCCTTCGCCATGCATGCCCGGAGTTGTACCTTCAAAGGCGCCGCGTAGCGACTGTCAAAGGCAATGGGTTCGAGACCATGCCCGTGGGAGTCAAACGGCCGACTCAGGCTGTCACAAATTTCTTCGTTCCGGCGGGCCAAGGCGTGGTCTCGGTAATATTCGGCAAAGTCGAGAGGTTGGGCGGCCGGTTCAATGCCCGCGCCGATGCACTCCAGCATCCAATTTGCCGGATTCACACCCCCGGTGCGCAAGGGTATCACGCCTGGCACTGCCTCCAAATAATTGATGAGATCCTTGCTCCGCTTGCCTAACGGACCGAAGTACACCGTCCTACCCCCGTGTCGGAGGAGCAGGAGCATGTCGAACATTTCAAAAATTGCGCAACTCGGTTGATGGATCGTGCAGAGGACCGAGCGGCCGCTGGCTGCAATTTTTTTCACGGAACGCATGACCTGGACGGAAGGGAAAAGAGCGAATAATCAAGCACAGACATGGAAGAGACGAAGGCTGAGACCTCTGACTGGTCACCGCGAAAGATGTTGGGCTGCTCTGAGCGGATTCCTAGAGTGCGAGTAGAGAGATCAAGCAATCCCATACTTTGCCCTACTCCCTAGGAATACATAGTCCGTCCGTGCCCAACTCTCTCTGTCCCTTTCCGGCGCCGCATTCGTACCCACCTCAAAAGCTTTGGCAGCGTCAAGTCCGGTAGTGGGCTCGTCCAAGAAGAGCACAGAAGGATTTGCGACCAACTCCACACCGATCGTGACCCGTTTCCGCTCCCCCATCAACAGTCCGGATCCTGCATCCTCGCCGATCACCCGGTCGGCAATCCCACTCAATTCCAGCAATGCGAGCATGTCCTCCACGAAAACCTCGCGTTGTGCGGCCGTCACTTGTGTGTAGGGTAGCCGTAGAGTCGCCGAGAAAAGTAAGGCTTCCCGGACGGTGGAATGTGGGGAGTGCACGTCTGTTTGCTCGACATAACCCATTACCCGCGAAAAAGCCCGCTGTTCCTTGGGAAAACCGTTCACCAGGATCTCGCCAATGATGCACCCCGTGGTTTTCCGCCCGGCCAACACGTCGAGGAGGGTGGTTTTCCCCGCCCCCGATGACCCCATCAATGCGGTCAAGGAACCTGGCCTGGCGTACCCGGTCACCCCCTTGACCAGCTCCACGCGTTCTTTGCCTCCACCTTGGGGCTTGGGCAGCTCCACAGAATACCAAATGTGCTTGAATACAAGGGTTATGGGCTGAAAGGTCAAGGAATCCCCTGTGGGATGTTTCGGGCGCCGCCCCATCGACTGATGGCCTAAAGCTTTCTCCGGATCCGCGTCTGACAGCAGTTCATACGAGAAGGCATCATAGCCTGCGCCCGACGCCCCCACCGCGGGGCCCTCGTTGAGGTCTTTCTCCTTGTATCCAGGATTCTCATCTTCAGTAGCAGCAAGCTCTTCCCGTTTTGCCGCGGAAGGCACGGGAGCGGCCCCCTGTCCTGTCCATCGGATCAAACGCATGGCCAACATGGTCAGCATCAACATGACGCTCCAGAGGGCAAGTAAAAACAAGACTCCGTACACAATCCAGTCCCGCTTAGTCTTAAACCCTAGGTTTATCAAATAGATCTCCCCCTCGGAGAGACATTGGAAGGGTCCGTTGGAACCGGTGTACTGTAACAATGCCTCCGGCCTGCGGGGGTCACAGGGGATGGCCCTGGGGACCGGCGGGGGATATATGATGTGCTGGCTGTAGGTGGGCGAGGAGAACTCGTTGACGGCCAAGGCCCGAAGACCCCAGGCCAGAGGATTGATCCAATACAACCAGGTCCAATAGAATGGTATGTCCTCTCCTTTAATGGTCAAGCCAGAGAAGACGACGAAGAGTAAGACAAAGAGGGAGCAAATAGGCTGTGCCTGGGCGAGGCTGGGAACCAAGTGAACGACGAGGCGAAAGATTTGTCCGATGCCCAAAGCGGTGGAGAAAGCGACCAGAACGTAGGTCAGATAAAAAGCGCCATAGTCCGCCCGTGATAAGGCAGACAAAAAATAGGCAAGAGACGTGAAAACCATCGTCTCTACGAACTGGATGGGGATTTGGACAAGCATCTGCGCCACCACAGCGGACGAGGTCGGGAAAAAACCGGCGTCCCGTTGCTTGTAAAAGACGGCGCGTTGCTCCATGACCGTGGGAATGGTGGCCAAATTTCCCAAGGTGATAAACATAAGGGAAAAGAAGAGCATGCAGACCTTGTCCGACCAATCATGCGCATCCAATTGGTAGAAGAGGGTTCCGGCCGATCGCCCCCATGAGGAGAACTTGCATGATCCGCCCGCGCAGGAAGACACGGTCTCGCAATGTGATTCGAGCCTGACGCTGGAGACACAACCACGTACTTCGGAACCATCCGTTGCTGAACTCGCAGCGCTGCCGCCGAAGCCAGGGCGCGAAGGAGGGAGGACGTTCCAAATTATCGATCATGTGTTCGTAAATTTCCGTCTCTTGGAAGGCCCGCACAAATTCTTCTGTGCTGGTGGGAGGGTCAGGAATTCCAGCTGCGTAGCGTTGCGCGGCCGGAATGATGAATTCTGCCCCCGCAGACGTCGTCACCTCCACCAAGAAATCGGCGACGTCCTTACGGAGGGGCCGGCGGAAACCCAAGTTCTCGAAGTGGTCAAGAATGAGCTCCCGCGGGCCTTGGTACACAATGTGCCCTGCATCCATCAGGATAACGTCGTCGAAGAGGTCGAAGACTTCGGGCGGGGGCTGAAGTAGGCAGACGACAATGTTGGCCTGTAACGCCCGGGTGCAGCCGGACAGCGTCTTGCATATGTCAAAAGTAGCGGCGCTATCCAATCCCGTGGAAATTGAGTCCATCAAAAGGACATTGACCTGCCCGCCTGTCATTTCCGCCGTAGTCAACCGTTTCTTTCTCCGCCGCTGATGCCGCGACACAAAGTGTTCCCGACAATGGTGTGCTGGCACCGAGAAAGACCGAGGACCCGCAACGTCTGTTCGACCTTCCCATTCCTCTTGTTGGCCCCATAGCGCTCGGACCCCCAAGGTAGAGGAAGGGGCACAGATGGAGGCGGACGGTGCTGAGGAGGAGGAAGCCGCCTCTTGTTCTTGGAGGAGGTGCTTTGCCAATTCCCGGTGGGAAGGCAGAGGGTTCCGGAGACGAGATGGAAGCCCGATTTTGGCCTGCGGGCCATTCATGCAATCGTAGGCGAATTGCACCGTTTCTTGAACGGTCAGAGTGGATGCGTGACAGTCGTCCTGGGAAACGAAGGCCACCACCTTGGGTAAAGAAAAACGATGGGACTCCGCCGTATCCCCGTTGTACGTCACGCGGCCCTTCAGCACCGACGTGCGGGTCCGCTTCACGCGTCCTGCCAGGGCCTTGAGAAAGCTGGATTTGCCAGAACCAGGCGGGCCGAGGAGAAGGGTAAGACGGCCCGGAAGCAGCACGCCCCGAAGGTCTTTCAATATGTGAAAGGACGCTTGCTGTCGCTGCTGGTTATTACGTAACAAACATGTGAACGGCCAAGACCACATCTTCAGGCATTGTGCTCCCACCGTGAGGGTGGTTCCGCTAGTACTTTGCTGTTGTACACTGTAGTTTAGATCATCGAAGCGGACCTCAGTAGCATGAGCATAGACGCTTTCGCTGCGGATTAGCTTGGGAGGATGGACGCAGTTCGATGTGTCGAAGATCTCAGTGTAGTCGGGCCGCGTCAGTTGGCTAGGACTCCTGTAGTGTTGCAACATGGAACCAGCTGCAGAGTAGGAAAGATTGTTTCCAAGCGTTGGAAGGTGCTCCGGAGGAGGAGGGGAGGAGGGGGCTGTCGGGATCATCCGGGATGCTAGTCCTGAAGAATGCTCGTGGAGATGACAGTGTGGGCTATGCAGTTGAAAAGACGAAAATTTTGAAGTGGAATGTCCAAGATTTTCCCGTAATGCTTCAAAGTCTTTGACTCCATGAGCAGCCAGTGCCTCCTCCAGCCGGTGGATGTATTCATGCTCCATCATCAGAGCTTTCGAGGCCTCTTTGAGTTGAGCGCGGAGCTGAGTTTTTGGGCTTGGCTTCAGACCCGGAAAAGATGCAATCACTTCCTCATCATTGTTAATGTTATTTTCTTCCTCGTCCATTCTGGTTTATATTGCTTCAGGTATAAACAGAGGAGTCACCTTTATAGTAAAGGGAAAAAGGATCGATGAAATCGTGTGTTGAAGTCCGCAATATATTTTTAAACCCGCCCTATCGACGACAGCGAGCACTGAGTATCACAAACCATCATATCAGTCCATTCATTATCATTCCAAGTAAAAAGGAAGGCATTCGATCTGTCATGACAGCGGGAAAGACACGGTGATATGGGAAAGTGGCGATTGATGGATCGAGCGGTTTTTGGTCGCTTTAGTAACGGTCGTGAGTTCTCAGGTAGCCCAGATTACAGGGGCTAGCGAACTTCGTGCAAAACTTGATAGCAACAAAATATCATTGTAAATGTTCAGACGATCAATTTGTAAACAGGCTGATCTGTGGAATAAGCCTATTTACCGAAGTGTGTTCTTTTAAAGCCCAGGGCCGGTCTTTCTCCTTGAACCTCAGCCGTTAAGAGCAGTTAGGCAGTTGCTGTACCTCGAGAACGTAAGAACCTAAAAATAGTAAACATAATATCGAGAATACCACAGAGCAATAGGTGATAGGGTGTACTATAACTTGAAAGCATCGGGACCACGTTCAATCGCTTAATTGGTGGGTTGAGCTTTCTTTAATCACCACAATGAGCATGTCGAAACGTAATTGATGTCCAAGCCCAGAGACTACTTCCTCTTTCCTGTTGAACTGCCCGCTTGCGCATTAGGAACGATCATTGTCCTCTTAGGCTTCATTAAACAAAACTCATTTCACTGTTGAATGGAATAGTCATCTCACGGGAAAAGAAACTCAATCAGTCCAACCTCCTCCAGGTTCGACGCGTCACGCTGCTCGCACCATCGCTGGCATCCCGAGCACCTCCTGCATCTCATCATATCATCACCTGTCTGTGAGGCAACGCAAAACACTATGTATTACTCAATATAGTAAGACGCAAGACCCTTTTAAACGAAACATGCATCCCTCTCGAGATGCGATGTATTTCTCTTGTTTTGATATTATTTGCTTGCTGAATTTAAAGTCACGTTGCGCAGATCATACATCCTTCTCCTTCAAACCATACAATGTGCATGCTATTGCTGCCTTATTTCGGATTTCCGTTACCTCTCCCTTTCCCCCCGCCGGTCTTGTCTGCGGCTCCCTCTTCTTGCCGAAGCGCCTTTCTCCTTTTCACATCGTAATTAAAGAGCCGCGCCATGTTCACTTCAATGGTAGTTGTCTGATTCTTCAGATGTTCCAAATCTTCATTCGTTGTTTTCTAAACAAGAAGGCGTTGAGAAAGGAGGACGGATTAAGGCATATGATAAAGCCATACTGTCCAGGAGATTGATGTTTTTGGCGGAGGATACGTTACGGCTTACCAGTTTTTCCTTGGCATTCCTTAGACTTGTTTCCAGAACTCCTTTGGCCTCCTCATAGGAGTATTCCAACATGACATTCGCGCCCAGCCAGAGGCATACACGGCCGTGGCAGGCAACTTCAGCCTTTGCATAGATAGTATCAGCTTATAAAAAAAGATCCCATGGTAAAGAAATGGTAGAAACCGGATGAGTACATGTAGAGGGAAGATGCGAGAAAGGTACCAATCATCCTACCTAAATTGTAGTGAGTAGTCAGGGCCTCCCCCTCTGCTTGCTTTCCTTCGAGGACGTGAACGAGTTCCAATGTCTTTTCAATCTCCGGTATCTTGGCCTTCATAGATAATTTGACGCGGCCCAAGCTATTCTCTAAAGTTTTACATTTGCTGGAGCGACCCGATTGAAGGAAGTTAGAACCACACCAAGAGGAAGGTGAAAATATGAAATACTATGATCACTAAAAGATTAGGTTATAACTATCGTTCATTCCCCACCCTTGCTTCTTCTTGAACCTTAATATCTGCCTTACCCGTAAAGTTCATTGAAAGCCCCGATCGCAGTCTCCACTGGCACTCCCCCCAAGGTCTGTAGAAAGGCTCCCACGTCCTCCTTTTGCGCACAGGTGAGAAAGCGCGTTGTAGAAAGGGGTTGTGGCGGCTTCAGTTATCGAGTGAAGTAATCAGGCCATGCATCGAGAGCAGCATACTTACGATAAAGGTGGCCGTGGGTATACCGCGAGGGTTTTTGCCCACAGAAAGATGCTTTTGTATGTCCACATTTTGTTCCATGGTACCAGTATCCCTGGCAGCCATGGCTCTTGTACCAAGCTGTAGTTTAATGAAAGCACTGTGAGGGAAGATATCGTGTCAGAGCGCACCCACTAACTGAGCAATTACGTAGAAAAGAAATACCAGGCAAACATTTTGTGATAACGCCTCTCAAAAGCAATGGAAAGGTATCATGGCATTTCCCTCAAAACCGTCCGTGCTAAGCGCATGCACGTATTCTTACTATGCATTTAACATCCCAGCGCTGTGAGACACAGACAAAGCCATCATTTGAAGGAAAGCCCACGGAAATGCTGCCTTGCGAAGACGGGGGGGGAGTTGTGTGAATTAAATCGATGTCAGCTACAACACATACTTCCGCGGCGCGTTCAGCGAGGTCTTCCACAAGGCCATGGCCGCGGGCGGCTCAGCGACATTTCCAACTCCTTTATCATCCCCTCGCGTAATTATGGACCTCTTACACCCCATCATTGCGTGCACAGACAATAAAGCCATGGGGTCCGCGTATTACGATGCAGAGGCCGGTCGCTACGTGCTGCTGGGGTACGCAATACTCATCACGTTTGCCGGTACTCTGGGTAAGTCTATTTGTTCCTCGTATTATCCTTATTTCTTTTTTTTTGAGGGGAAATTTGCCTGCGATACGTTTCTTAAATCGGCATGTAAGTATCAAAAACTGCATTGACACGAGTGTACTTGATCACGATAAAGCTTAATCACGGATTTTGCTACCCAAAGCTATAGGGGAGGTTTGTCGTTTTTTGCGTTATGTGTCCATGCCCGACGAAATCTGTGATATCATAATAACATGTCAAATGAATTTTTGATTCTGATCCTTTCCTTGGTGCCAACTTCCACATTTACAACAATTCATATCGCCCGATCGTTGGTTCTCCTCTCGGTGTAGCTTGGGTGAAGGCTCGTTCTCGCATCGAGGTGATGTCGGCCGTTGTCAGCTTTATTTGCTTATTTGTAGCTTTTGGAATCTCTTGGACGTACCCTATCGTCGCCTTCGCAATCGCAGCAATTGTTGCCGCCAATGTGGCCATCAATGACGCCTTGCGTTTGCAAGCGTCGCGACAGATATTCCCTACAGGGATCACCCTAGTCATCTCTGTGGGTAGCTTTGTCTTCTTTTGTATTTTGGCGGCAAATGCGCCTACAATACAATTCTCACGAGGAGGAGTTGACAACAGTCATTTGGGTACTAAGCCATTTGTGGCCTTGAAAGGCAGTTCTGTCCTGTGGGAGAATCTGTCACCTGTTTTTCTGAGAGGCCAAGACAGCCCGTTTCTGCCACTGCGTGAGGAAACGGGCCGATTGTCTTTGAGACCGAGGGGCTGAAAAATATATAAAATGATGTGAAGATGAACTTAGCATGTAAAAACGTATCCTGTACTCTGCCTAGCTTCCGATTTCCGAAAAATAACCGAACAGACGACGCAAGCATGCCACTTTGACTTTCAAGAAAATATTTTCTCAACCATTGCCGAAGCGTACACATACTGATTTACCGAGCACTTCGTGCTTTCGGGTCTGCCGCATGCTTATTTACTTAATTAATTATTCCCGTGAGTTCGAGACCGGGTTCCAAAGACCACCTTCCGAGAACGTCACAGTCGAGTTCATGTACACTTCCGCGCTACCCGTGCTGTGGGAAATTGGTGGTAGTCCAGGCAATCTTCCGTGAAAAGAGACGGCGCTGCACCGGCTTGCTCTTTTTCCGTGAGAGCCAGACCCCGCGGGACGTCAGGCACAAGGTAGACATCCCCCTACAATTCCCCCCCTCCTCAAGGCCCCCCTTCCTCCTCCCTCTCCAACGATAGCTCCTCCAGGGTCAAGGAGACCGGCAGCTGTCTCTCAGAGACTGGCGTCCCTCTTGTCTCTGGCGTGGCCTTCCGGTCTTCGGGAAGCTCCTTCCCGTCCTGTCTGGCCTGCTCCTTGCGTGCCCGCAGCCATTCCATATCTCGCCGGTCGTTCTCTGCCCGGATCACGCGATCCCTCTTGTATTGACGGTACCCCATTACCCCCATCAAAGCCACCAAGCCCAGGAGGCATACCACAAGACTTATACCCAACACGTTCTTGCTCGGTGGGTCCTTAGTCTGAGGCTCCTTCTTCGACCCGTCCTTGAGGATAAGGGTGGTGGAGTTGGAGGGCTTCGCTCTAGGACTCTCTTTGGGGACCATCTCTTGAGGACTCGCGGTGGGGCTGGGAGTGGGCACCGGCGCAGAGGTCACGTTCAAGCTACAGATCAAGCTGGACGGGATGGTTCGCCGGCCGGAGCGGAGTGTGAGGTTGCCCCTGGCCACCTGGGCCAAGCTGTCTTGCACGTGTGCGGCATCCGCATCGGAGGAGCATTGCAAGGCGAAACGAAGGTGGATTTTGGGGGCCTCGGGGTTGGCACAGGCATCATCGGGGAGTACACGCTGATTCAAGAGGACACGGCGCCGCCGATCGCTGCCCAGACGACTGACAGGGAGGCTGACAAAGGACGTGACATACGGCTTCACTACGTTGTAGGTGGCGGTCTGCAAGGCCGAGACGTCCGTGGTCGGGCCCGCATAGACCATGTCCACGTCCCAGCCTCGCAGGACGTCGTCCCCGCCTGAGGCCACCTTGCCCCTGCCCAAAAGGGAGAGGAGAGCGGCGTCGTCGTTGGTCGTGCCTGGTGGCAAGGGGTAGATGGCCGCCTGGCTTCCGGTCGTGGCGGTGACGTCCGAGTAGGTAGCAGTCTCGCTGGAACCATACAGAGGGTCTTGGCCCAGGGGGCGGCTGGGAGTTGGGGCCCAGGTGAGTCGGAAGCGTGGAGGGCGTCCCGTGGGGGCATGGGTGGGGATCCGGACAGGGGTTCGACTGGTTTCAGATTCGGGCATAGGATTGTCCGCGGGAGAGGCTACCGGCCCTGAGGTCGGGGGAAGACTCTGTGCTGGGGTCGTGGCGGAGGGACGCGCGACATTCGTGTCGGTCGCCTTGGGAGAGGAGCTTGATGGGCTTGAGGGGCTATCGGGGTCGTAGGACGTCTCCTGCGGAGTGGGAGGCAACGGCGCAGCAGCGGAAGAGGCTGAATCCGAACTCGGCGAGAACAGGTTCCCCGAAAACCACCCACTATTCTTGGACGAAGCCTTGGTGGAGGTTGACTTCCCAAAAATTTTCTTTCGCTTCTTCGTTCTCTGGGCAGTCGCAGGCTGATTGGGTCCGGCGAGTGTGGACACTGGAGCCTCTGATCCCATTACGGCGCGGCCCACAAAGCCATCCACATCCGTTCCCGGGGAGTCCAGGGCCTGTCCTCCCAAGACCAAGCTTCCTTTGCTGTAATTACCAGCAAGATAGACATTGTTTTCTGCGTCCACCCCAACGGTCGCGACGGAGTATGCGCCCCGCTTTCCTTCACCTCCGAAGGAACGATCAAAGAGGATGGTGCCATCCTCTGCTTGCAGGCGCGCCACGTAGATATCACCGGCATCGGAACCAATTGAGATCAGCCCTCCGTTTGCACCGAAAGGTGTGTCCTTTGTTGTCGTCCCAGAGATGTACAAGAAGCCCAAATAGTCCACGACGATCGACGCGGGCGCCGGGACTGCTTTCACCCATTGGATGCTTCCAGTTTTAAGACTCAGGCTGATCAAACCCGCCGACTTTCCGTCGCTGCGCGCCAAAATGCTGCGACCCAAGAAATTTCCCGTGATAAACAAGGACTCACTCGCTTCATCCGCGGCTACTTGTAAGGGCGGAGATGATGCAATCTCTCCGACCTCCTGGCCCCACATGACATGCCCATAAATACTGTCCAGGCGTGCGAGGAAACCAGTGGGATCCGCCCGCCGCTTGTTCGGATTTTCGCTCCGAAGGACGGACATCTCGTCGAGGGTAAGGACGTCGGAGTAGAAGTATCCCGTGATCAGGAGCGCCGAGGATTTGGGTAGAATGGCCATGTCCGTATTGACGTCGTCTCGATCCCCAGTGAACGTAACGCCCGACATCAAATCGCCCGTGCGATAGGAATAGTGATCCACATAAATATCCAAGGAGCCTTTCTTGAACAATCCATCACCCCCTTTTTTCTTGCCCATCAGTTCCCCGCTCCCTCTGCCATCATCAGTGTCGTCATCCTCGAGCCCTGCCGAGAACTTCGACCCAAAGTTGGACTCGTTCTCTTCCGATACCGGTGGTTCACCCGGAAAGCTACCACTTAAAAACAGGCAATCACGGGCAGCATCAACTACTATGCTACCAACATCGCTGTCCCCCGTCTGTGTGACCCAAATGACCGTACCTTCAGCATCTACGCGCATCAAGTATGTGTTGTATTCGGGTTCGTCAGCAAGGCCGTAGATCAAGTTGTACACCGGGGGGCCTGCGTCGCCAAAGGTAAGCACCTCCGACTGGAAGGTGCCTGTAAGAAACACGTTGCCACCATCTGGATCCACCACCACGTCCTGTACGACATCGTCCATATCGCCCCCAAAGACGAATGCCCACTCCAAGTCTCCCGACGAATCGATTTTTGCGAGGAAACTGTCCGCGGAGGGGTCGGCCGATTGGCCGGTTTTGCCTTGATTTTTGAAAGTCATATTACCAATTTGAATAGATTCCGCATGAAAATCTCCCACTACGTAGGCATTCCCCACTTTGTCCACCGCCATGGCCTTTGCTGTGTCGTCCCATTTTTTACCACTTATGCGGAGCGCATAGCCGGCTACCGCCTGAGCCTGCGTCGCACCTAAACCCAAAACTAGGATGAAAACACTAGCAATTAACCCATGCTTGCGTGGTGGCGCCGTTGGCCGCATAAAATGGCTGATCAATCGAGGAACGGAATGATTCCTCGTTGAATGTGTACGACTGCCAGGGATCTTGTTATTCGAATAAAACCTTATATAAGGCCCCTGTACCTTTTTGTATGAGCACATATGTCATGAGGAAACAAACATAAAGGAGGAGTTTTTGGGGATGTACAATGATACTTATCCACCGTACTTCGGCAGATCCTAGCCCGCACACACGAAGAGTGACTTCAGAGTACATGCAGTAAGCCGCCCTGATGATTTTTCTCCCCTTATCCGTATTCGCTTGTAGTATATTAAAGTCATAATTATTAGCACAAAAGCCGATTGAATCATGTGAAACTCCACTTTCAAGAGTTATCCCCGCCTCTTCGAGCGTGCACAGGCTCTGTTTCCGATACGACAAGTGTCGATGTCATCGTATAAGCAGTATCCATACAATTAAACTTGCATGAGAGGTAGAATTCAGTGCCAATAACACAAGAAAGCCTTTTTTTACCAATAAGTGAACCTATAATTGGTACTTCGTCCATGGTTCGCTCTCACTGAATGAACATAAGCTGGTGGAGCCAGGGGACCGTTGAGATCTAGGCAGTCGCCCGTTTAAAATTTTCAAAAATTCAAGCAACTTGCGTGGCTCAAGTAGAATGCCCTTGAAAGTTCTCACACGCCGTGTCTTTCGAAACAAGATTCAATACGCTTCAAAACTTTGTTTTTATATAGAAATAGAATAAGGATTGGTCGTGGATGTGACGAAACCGGTGTTACCAAGCTTGTTAATTGAAAACCCGGTCATCAAGGTGCTCTGAACGAAAAAGCGACAGTGCGCACAGATATGGGGCGCAGACAAGACAGACACTTATGGGCCTTCGAAAAAATCAATATTAGACTTGAACAAGTACTACTACTAGGATTGCTTATATTGATTTGAGAAATAGAATTGTATTTGTTACATGGATGGCATACAGACAGGATAACTTCTTGATGACCTCCTTGCCTCCTCTTACTGGTGGCTGACTCACACATGCCTTCAAATTTATGCATAAATCATCAGAACTGCACAACAAATTTATGCGGTAATCGTACGTACTGCCAACTATGAAGAACGCTACCGAACCAATAAGCTTGCTTCATTCCCAGCCTCGACGACGACACAAAACCAAGCTAGCATTACACCTTACTTTTCCCCCAGGTGCTATCTATTCCTCCACTATTTTCTTACTGGTTCCTCGAATGTAGTGGTATAAGAAAAGCATGCAAGTCTTACCATGGATTCATTGGCTCTTTCTTTTACCGCGAGGGTCTTGAAGGAGCATGCGGGGGGCTGGATCCTTGCATCCATTTTTCTTTCTCTTGAGCCAGAACCGTAGCATAGCGTAGCTTTAGCTCATTTTTTTGAGCAAGCATTGCGGCTTCATGTTCTTGCTGCCACCGCACTCGTTCACCATCCAATTCCGTCTCCCACTGAGCCCGTGCGTCGACAAGGCTTGTGGAGTCCACCCCGGCCCCTGATAACGCCTGAGCAAGGCTTTTGGCATGCTCCTCCGTCAATTTTTTCCGTTGTGCTGCCAAAGAGGCTTGTAATGCCGTCGAGTGCTCTTGCTTGGCGACTTCGCGTTCCGAAGCCAAAGCAGCCGCCAGGCTCGCGGCGTGCTCCGCCACCCATTTCTCTCGCTCTACGTCTATCACCGCTCGTATTCCTGCAGGATGGTTGGGGTCAAGAATACTACGCTGTACATTAAGACTTTGAGCATGCTCCTTTTCCCATGCGGCACGTTTCTCCTCCATGGCTTCTTGAGCTTCTTGGCGCCATTTCTCTCGTTCCTGCATCAAGGCCTGGCCGTAACGTTGTTTCAGCGTGTTTTTCTGCGCAAAGAGCTCGGCCTCCCGCTCCTGTCTTCCCTTTTCTTTTTCCGCGGCCATGGCTGCTTTCAAAGCGGTTTCGTGCTCCTTGGTCAGCTTCTCCCGTTCTGTCAATATGGCAGCTGTCGTTGCCCCGGCCAAATCTCCCGACGACGCTGCGCTCAGCGAAGCCAGGAGTGATGCCTTCTCGCGTTCCCATTTTTGCATCTCCTCCGTAAGTGTGGTGGCATATCGAAGCTTGAGGGACTTTTTCTGGGCGGCCAAGGCTTCAGCTTGCTCTGTCTCCCACTGTTTCCTCTCCTTCTCCAAAAGAGTTGCCACGTCCACTCTCCCTTCTTCTTTACCCTGTCGTCTCTTAGCCTCCGATGCGGCCCTTGCCACGGCCGCTGCGACGGCAGTTTCTTGCTCCTGGCGCCATCGGGCTTCCGCCTCGGCCAGGCGGGACTCATGCTCCTCCTCTAAACGACGACGTTCTGCATTGACAGCGTCCGCCAAAATTTGGTCGGATCCAGCCTCTTTTGTATCCATTCGCTCCTCCGCTTGCCATTTCTTCTTCTCACGGGTGATCGCAGCAGCGATGATCCTGTCCCGTTCTCGTTCCCAGCTCTCCTTCTCGAAAGGCAAGGCTTCCCTTTTCCCTTGGGCCACATGACGGCGGACGGCAGCGAGCTCTTCAGAATGCTCCAGCTTGAGGCGATCGGCCTCCTCCTTGACAGCGTGCGCTAGGGCCGCCTCGTGCTCTATCTTTAGCCTTCCTCGCTCCGCGGCCAGTACGGTTTGGTGTCGAGCGCGCCAACGTTCCTTCTCTGCCTCCAATTGGCGCGTTAACTCTTCCGGGGAGGCAATGGCTCCACTCCCCGTGGCGGAAAGGGACGCCCTTGTTTTCGGTGTGAGGCCTTTGAAGCCCGTAAAAAATGATCGCGGCGGCTGAGATTGTGGCTCTGTGACCCGTGCAGGGCGTTGCAATCGGCGACTTTGAACGACATAGAACACGCCCACTGAGAGCATGACACCAAGGAGGCCCAAGACTATCCCCATGATGAGACTGAATGCCTGGATACCTTTCTTGTCTTGGCAGGCAGCGCCATCTGCGCCCATGGTTTCGACCCCCGATGTCGCTGGGACCATTTGAGGGGCCGCGAAGCTGTCGTCCGCCTGGATCAAGGGGGAGGCCGAAAGTGCGCTGTAGCTGACGCTGCACAGGACTGTGTTGTCGAAGATGTTCCTGCCGCTGTCCATGGCAGACACGCCATTGATCATATCCTCCAATAGGTTTAAAATTTTGGCCGTGGCAGCTCTATTTTTGGCTTCGATGTAAAACGGAAGGCTGAACTTGGCGGTCTTGGTGTCGGTGCACCGATTGACTCTCAGCGATCGCTCGTAGGAACGTCCGTCGCGTGTTTGAGATGCTTGATACTCGAGCTCCTGGAGGGACAAGGTGGACGCTGGAGTGATCGGGGAGGAACCGGCCATGCGGCGCCGGTTCAGGGCGGCCACGCTGGGAATGAAGGTGGCGTAAGACGTAGCTGTTTGCACCGGTAAAAAAATTGGGCATCAAGAATAGATGGGGAAAAAGTTATAATCACCGAGTAGGAAAGTCACACAAGTGTCTGGCGTGTTCTCCCCCCTGCTGCCCCCATTTCTCCCCGCCATCCCGTCCGCCCCAGGCTTCCTTACCGTACGGCCGAAACAGCTGGTACAATGACCGTTGAAATTCCAAAATGGTGGTCTGAGACCCAGCGTACGTCAATACCATGTCAACATTGGTCCCTGCAACCGCAGCACTGCTCCCGCTCGTGTCCAGAAGCGTGGGCAACGTGCCAGAGGAGAGACTGTCGATACTCAAGGGCGTGACGGGCGCCTTGGTGGGCGACAACGTGTTTCGCACCGGAACCGGTTCCTGAGTGGGCATCCGCGTCGGCCTCTGGGTGGGCGGGAATGACGGGGCTGGGGTGTTGGACTGGGCGGTGGGGGACATTGTCGGGCGAGGGGTAGGACGAGAAGTGGGGGCGCGGGTAGGGCGCCGGGTCGGGGCCTTGGTAGGAGGCTTGGTCAGCAAGGCCTGCGCTTTGGCCCATTCGACGGTGGTGGGCGAATGCGTGGGGGACGGTGTGGTAGGCCTGCGGGTAGGGGCCATGGTAGGCACCGGGACCTTCTGAGGGGCGGCCGTTCGACCGGGAAGAGGGTGAGCGACGCGACCGAAGAAGCCGTCAATGTTTCCCGACCCCGGCGTGGAGAGCATGGTGTCTGCGAACTTGATGGCACCCCCGGTAAAATTGCCCGCCCAGTACACATTGCCAGCCGGGTCAACGGCCAGGTCGTTCACCGTATACTTCCCCGTGCTCCCGCCTCCAAACCGCTCCACTTGAACGACTTCCCCCTGGCTGTGGCCGTCCATGCGCGCCAAATACATGTCACCGTTGGCACTTCGGGCAATCAGGTTGGGGATGTCGTAGGAAAACGACACAGACGCCTTGAAGGTGCCTGCCACGGTGATAGCACCCGTGTAGTCCACACCGACCTGCTGGGGCGGCGGCAGACCTTTCACCCACACGATCTCGCCCGTGTTCGCGTTCATGCGCACCAGGGAAGGGAAAAGAGAGCTTCCGATCCGTCCCGCCGTCGATTCCATCAAGGCCATCATCTCAGGCGAGCCAAAAGTCCCTGTCACGTACAACATCGTCCACGGTGCCGTGGTCCGGGTGCTGTCAACGGCCAGCCGCAAGGGATTCGAGCCCAGCGCCAGCCCCAGGGTCTTCCCCCATACCACCAGCTTTCCCGTCGGGTCGAGCTTTGCAACGAAGCCGTAGTGGTCGCCCGGTAAGGGGCTGTCCGTGTTGGTCAATGCCAGGTTGGGGGCAAGCCGGACGCGGCCTGATTCGGAGAATCCGGTCACGAATGGAGTCGTCGTCCCTGCCTCCAGCACCAGGTCCGTGGGAATTTCATCCAAGTCGCCAGTAAAGACCGTGCCATCCACCAGCTCGCCCGTCACCGAAGAATAGTAGTCCACGTACATGTCTGTGGAATAGCCGTCGTCGGGCGCAGGTGTTGCAGTCCCCTCCTTATGGAATGGGTTCTCAGCCCAGATACTGGTGGACGGGCTTCCTCCCGCTTGCTCCACCGGTCCCGTTTCCTCCGGCCCACCGTCGTCGGTCATGTCGTCATCGACCACACCAAGTGGAAGGGATGATTCCAAGGCTTTCCACGTATCGTCGTCGTTTCTCGTGGCCAGGTAGGACGGAAAGGTGCCTGTCACGTACACGCGCTGAGAGTCCGAGTCCACAGACACGCTGGCAATGTTCTTATCCCCGGTTTGGGTGCGCCAGAGGACTTTCCCCGCCGAGCTTACTTTGACGATGAAAACATTGGTTGGTAACGTGTCGGCGTCGTATATGATATTTTCCAGGACGTCGTCGTTTGTCTCGCTCCCGACGGGGGAAAAGGATATCTTGGGAGACTTGAAAACACCTACCACATAAGCAGAGGCCCCGGAGGGGTCCATCGCTACGTCAACCACGACGTCATCATGATTTCCACCCCAGTTTGCAGCCCAGTTTAGGGAACCATCGGCCTTGAAGTGGGCCACAAAGACGTCCGACGTGCCTGGCGGGCCCTGATTGGCCAGGGTTGCGGTGTCCGCCACCGTCACACTTTCGGAGCGAAAGCTACCTGCAACAATCGCATTTCCGTCCGCATCAATCGCAAGCGTTTGAACTGTATCTTCTTCATTATTTGAGCTTGCGATTTTGGTCGCGTAAAGCGGTAAAGTCTCTCCCTGGGCCTTGCCCGCCTCGGCGAGAAAAATAAATATGACAATGGCTATCAGGAAGCCAAATCGCCATGAGAAGGACACGGCGAAAAAACGAGGCTCACGCGACCGCTGCAGCCAAGCCTCTACCATTTTCGGTAAGGTTGCTCTTTTTCAATTATTTTAATCTCTGATTAGACCAGGACGCCCCGATATGTCGCAGAGAGCATGAGATACCTCTCTGAAGAAAAAACAGGAGTGCAGAGGCCGCCGGGTAAGCGCTCTCCTATGATTAGTTATAATATTTGACCAGGAAAGCGAAGAGGATGTATGAATAAAAAGAGTGGATGGTTGGACACAGAAATGCCTCCAGCCAATAAACGCGGAAACGAGGAGCTACTTCTCAGAGAAGCGTCAACTGGCCTCAACGGTAAATTTGAAAATCCAAATTTAACTTGCGGTTAAGGATTGAGCATGTTTTTACAATCTAAAGAATAATAAATTGCTTCATAGGTAGCCAGACATGTTATTGAAGAAAAATATTTTATTGTTTTTGCTGAAGCATGCTTACTGGGATGGCCGAACGGGGCTTGGGCCCCACCTTTTCGATCTTTTCCGGTGCATTAGGAAGTCGTTGCAAGGATGGAAGCCACCCGGTTGGGGCTCCAGGCGATGGACTTGCAGAAAGCAGATAGAGAAAACACCTGAACGAGATCATCGACACTGATATAGGCGTCATCGAGTCTGATGAATTGGTTTTTCCTCCCCCAAAACGCTATCGTTGCTTTCTTTGAAAAATCACGTTACTCAAGAAAGATGGAAAGCCAGCCGCCCGAGTGATGGAAGATAAAAATGAAGAGCATATCGCGAGTGCATTAGATGCAACATATTATGTGTATCTCAGCGATTTTAATGCATCAGGCTATTTTTATTGGGGAAGTTTTCTCGCTGTCGTCTGAGCGTGTTATCAAAAAACTTCTTCTTCTTCAGATCCTAATTCCGGCAATATAATTATAGATGAGAAAAACCTTTTCAGTAAAGTAGTCCAGCAAAACTGAGAAATTAAATCTTGTATGACTTATGTATGACATGAAAAGATATACGAGATGCTGTAGTACTATGGAGGAATATATTGAATGAGTGATGTGATAAGGACATACTTGAACATATTTTGCAAAATCTATCGTTGGGGTGAACCAAAATATCTTACTTTTTCATGTCATTTCTAATAATCTTTTGACGTCGAGCAAATTTCTCTGTGGGGTACGCCGTGAAAATGAAAACAGTACATTTGAGAGAGAGAAAACAGAGAGTGTGATGCGTCGCACCGGGCTTTGTGCATACCGCTGTTCAGAATGGCCTAGAGCATTGTAATCATACTTGACATTTGTCGAAAGAATGGCTTGAATTCGCCTGTTTCCTGCCTTTGACGTACTTTTTCTGGTTATTCGACATATCATCCTGGCGTTCCTGGAACCAAAAAAAACTTCCATCTCGGCGGCCTTTGGGTATGAGACTCTCGAGCGAACCCGCCATCTGATCTGTCAATTATCTTCATTCAGTTTACATGATCAGAGTAATTTAATATTATTAGCTACGCATGGAACAGATGGATATATTGAGGCGTTGTGATTTCCATCTTTTAGATATCCAGCTTTAAAATATCCTTAAAAGCTAGTAGTCTCTTTCTCAATGGATTCGAAAAATACGTGACGGTTCCCAGGTCCCGAAACATATATATGTACATTTTTAGACGTAGACGTTAGAGTCTGTGGTGCCCGTTCCTTCAAATGACGGAAGGAAAGAGCCTTTTCAACCATGTTTGGCATGAGTTCTAGCGCGCTTAAACTAAAATACAACTCTTGTAATTCACAATAAAGTTCGGAAGGCGACAGATCCATTAAGTGACTCAAGTTACAATGTATGCCACTCAATCAGAAAAAAAAGGGAAAAAAACAGGCGAGCACTTCTGCAAAATTTCAGAACCCGCCATGTGCCAACAACAGGAACTAATCCTTTCTAGTCAGACTTACCACGGCGCCTGAAGCCAGCTTTCGTTTACTTCACCTTGCAATCACGTCCGGTAGGGTAAATTGTGATTTTTTAAATATCAACAATGTCCCACCGCAATTGGGTTGTCGCATGGCATGTCGCAAGTGGAAGTTCGCAACAGGGTTTCCGAGTTTCGACCTCCTATCGCGAAAATTAACTGAAGGGCGAGGATACAGCTGTTACGGAGGAACAACGATTGCAAAAAATAGAGGTAGTCCAAGCTCATAAAAAGCCGGGAAAGGCTGGACTCACTTTTACAATGCACAGATGGTCGACGAAGAGGGTGGACATCCTGGCCTTAGTGGAGCTCAGCAAGCATTTCCAGGGTTAGAAGCTCTCCTTACAGTCCCTTTCTCCTTCATCGCCAAATACACGCACAACAAAAAGTACGTCGCGGGCGCCGAGGATGGTAAATTCGACGCGTGTCGCGTTCACATCCATCACATTTGACCTTGTTGATTGTTTGGGACACAGGGAGGCGGAGGCCCTGGTTCAGATTTCCCTCCTAGCCGTCCGTCTGGATTCTCTGCTGGACTCCCTCCGTGTCGCAGCCGATCATGCTGCGGTATGTCATCAGTGTCCTCCCTCTTCTAAGCCCCCCCCCAAAGTCTCCACGCACTTAAATTTCCCTGACTTTCTGTGCGCTTGTCTACCACTGCTTCAACCCCCATTGTGCCCACTGCCTTCCTTCCCTCCCAGCGCGCCCGCGACTCCTCCTCTCGTCTCCTCTCCCTCTGCAAGGAAGACCCTCGCGTCACCGCCCTCCTCCCCTTACTGGACCAGCTTCAACTCCAACGTCGGCACGACCTGACCGCCTATCAAGAAGAGGTGAGACAGTGCACGCTCGCCCTGGAACGGCACAAGGAATTGCTGGGGTGGTCTGCGGGCACACACAGCAGCACCGCGGAGCAAGTAGGGGAGATGATGCCTGTCTTGGCGGACGCGGCCATGAAAATGTGAGGGACTTGGCGAAGAGCCGGGTCGGAAAGGGGGTGATGGGATGGGAAGGAGGGTAGCATAAAGGAGACAGGGAGGGAGGAGAAGCAACAAAGGAAAGGAGCGTGAAAATGCGGAAGGTGGGGAGGAGCCTCTCCATGCAGCAATCATGCCCCCTTTTAACTTTCCCGCCGCACGTTCCCTTAGCTTCAAACATCTACTCGTTGCCTGAGTGAACACCCCTTCCCTCCATCCCTCCCTCTCCTCCCTCCAGGTCCCTCCTCTGCGTCGAGATGGTGGCCCGTCTCGACACCTTGTTGCAGGGCCGCACGTCACTCTACCGCGCCTGCCGTCGACGCCCTACCGATCTCCTTTCCTCCACCCCTTCCTGGATCACCATGGCCGACTTTGTGCGGGACATTGTCACGCGTGATACCCCCCCCGGGGGCCCTCCCCCTCCGTCCCTCGCCCAAACCTCTCCCGTGCCCGCCCGCACCGATGGCCCAGAAAGTGCTTCTTCTCCGTCGCTGCAGGCGTCCTGCGAGGCGTCATCGAGCCAAACCACGGCAGGAAGGGAGGAAGGGAAGGAAGCAGGGAGGAGAGGCGGGAGGGAATGTCCAGGGAAGAAGCGTGTAGGAGGGTCGGAGGCGGGAGGGGAGGAGGAGAAGAGCTGGGAGGGAGCCGGCGTGAACTCGCGCAGGAGCAAGAGAATAGCCAGGGGAGGTGATGAGGATGGCAACCGAATAGGTGGAAATGGAGACGGTGGGTCGTGGGAGAGGGGGTGGGAGGGGAAGAATGTGGTCGGAGGAGAGGCTCCAGCGTTGGAGGAAGCGAGGGAGGTCGGGAAGGAGGGAGGGGAGGAAGTCTGGGTTGGGGGGAGTCTCGGGGGCCCGGGGGAGGGAGGGCAGGAAGGAGGGACTCAGGTCTCCGAGTCTCGGACGGCGTGGAGCGAGGGCGAGGCGGAGGAGGAGGGAAGAAAAGAAAGCAAAGAGGGACGGGTCAAGGACACAGCCGAGCAAGGACGTGTGGGCAAGGAGGGATCAGTCTCGGATCGGTGTTTCTCGTCCCGTGGGAAGGCCCTTCCCTTCCGCTTGGCTGGTGCCGAGGGTAGCGACCTAGCCGCCGGTCAAGTGAGTGAACAAAGGGAGGAGAGGGTGGACACGGAGGCGTCGCGCGACCTGGGCGGCATTGGGAGGGACGTGCAGGGGAAGGGCCATCAGAACAGGGACGATAAGGGAGAAGGCAGGGAAAGGGGGGGTGAGGTACAGGTTTTCGACGAAGCTGAAGCGGTTGATGGGCTCGATACGGCGGGTCTGAGCACTGGGGATATGATATGTCCCACGAAAATAGTGTCGTGCGAAGAAGAGAGGGCTGGGGCGCCCGAGGACAGTGAGGGGGGCACCCCTTCACAGTGAGAAGGGGACCTCGGTAGGTGAGTTTAGACGAAGGAAAAAATGCGTGAGTTCGAAGCAACGTGGGCACCTCACGCGTCAATGTTTGTCTCCTTGTTCATTTGGCCACGAATGGTAGATTTCTCCCTTTATGCAATATTACTGAGTCTTTGATGTTGGAAAACTGCCTGTTGGCCCATTTCTTGTCCGAGGCCGGCTGGAAAATGCTGGGATCACAGCCACACGTTCCAATATGCCCTACCTTGAGAGGGAAATGTCTTTGTATACTTTGTCACACAACACCTCCACGAACCCAAAGAAAAACTTAAAAAACATGTGCATTTCATGCTATGGCGACTCGCGAGCGTTACTGGTTCCTGTCACGTGAGCTGTGCATTTCTATACGCCCTCCGGCCTACTAGCGAGTATCTTCCTCGTGAGGTCGCCCCTCTTCGTTGCTGAGTCTTAACGAGCAAATAGTCCGCCCGTCCTTCCAAAACCGTCCTACCCTATCTAAAAGAAAATCATCCTAGTGATTTAGCCCGATATCAATGCCCAACGAAAGATATGGCTCACGTGTGCAGCCCTCAAGAAATCGAAAAGGCGCTATCCCTTGACTACCCATGCAGTTTCGGGGAGACGTCTGGGCAGAGTATCTAGGAGTGTAACAGCGTCAAGCCATTGCTTATTGGCGCATTGAATGCCGTGAACGTGTATAAAATTGTCAAGTAGGTGACAAAAATGCAAAAATGCAGTGATTACTACACTGCGGCTCAAAAAACAGATGAAAATGGAACAGTTTTGTTACGTCGTATCAGGCGGGGCCGAAAAATGTGGGCAAGTGCAACAACGATCTCGATCTTTTTTGCGAGTGCATGTGTTACCCTTGCTGCAAATAACTTGGCTTCATGCAATCCAACCCGTTTGTGTGTCTCATTCCTTTGCAACTCTCTTTCTCCTTGTGTTTTCTTTTCTCTCCTGCCATGCACATGTTTGTGACCTTTTCAGATGTAATGTACGCCGGCGTACAATTTACCCGCGTGCTGTGCCAGGTGTAGCTGAGATGGCGTTACCCTCAATGGGAGTTGTAACACTTTTCTATCAATGCACGCGACCTCACTGCTCTTTGAACCACCATGGCATCATTTTTTCCTTTGCTAGTTATTCTTGTCTTGGGGGCACGTACTGATGCCTTCTTTGTCCATCACCCCTATCGACAGAAAGCTTTCTGGCCACGCGCCCTGCATATATCTTTTTCCTCAGAACACCATGAAGATCTTCACGACCTCTGCAGCATGCCTGGCCCTCATGATGGCCCCCTTGTCCCTGATCAAGGCTGCCACAAGCATGGAAGACCTTGAGAAGATGGAGTCCTGGAGCTACATCCACGTGAGTAGTTTTTCTCATTCGTAGTGTTTTCTTTCACGATCGCTTTGGCCTGCCATCCTGGATACGATCTTCCGGTTGGGCCTGTTCCGTATCTCCTCACTTTCTGGCATATTGTGCCATGGATTGCCTGTAAGCATACAGATCAATGGCGTATGTTACACATAAGTGGTAGTCCGTGACGTAGGAGTGTGTCATTGGTTGGGTGGGCCGTGAGACCTTCCGTCAGAAATCCCATGTGTTCTGTGGAGGAAGACACGCCTTGTCCTCACCCTGCATGGCTTCAATTCTTACAGAATGTGAACTACGCACCCTGTGACGACGCGGACGCCAAGTCTTTCGGGTGCTGCGGGAAGCCCGAAGACGGGAAGGAGCGATGCGGTCCCGACAACTGGATCCATATCAATGAGACCACGACCACCACCTGCGCCAACGTGAAGGGAAACCAACAGAGGTCCGCCCGGTGTCCTTGTCATTATACCACCTTGTGTATTTTTTATCCATTCCTCCTTCTTCGCATGTCCTTCGACAAATGCTCCCTGCATAATCCCTCTCATCCTCCCTAATGTCATTGTGAACCTCCACTTCCCCGCCTTCCAGCCCCATCAACATCCAAACCGTGGGCACCACCCTCACGCCCATGGACAAGGCGGACGGGACCATGTCCTTCTCCGGGCACACGTGCGAAGCCTTCATTGAGTTCAAGGAGGGGACGTGGGAGGTGGTTATCCCTGACACGTGCACCTTCCAAGCCAAGATCGGGGGCACCGACTACAAACTCCTCCAGTTCCACTTCCACAACGCGGAGCACTCCATCAACTTCTCCTACATGCCGCTGGAGGTCCATCTCGTCCACGCCAAGGTAGACAGTCCCAAGGACATCGCCGTCCTCTCCGTCTTCCTCGCGCCCGGGGCCTCCTCCACGTTCTTTGAGACCCTGCAGGCGAACGAGGCGCAGGCAGACCCCGACCACCCCGACCTGGCCACCAAGAACAAGATCAACGCCTACGACATCCTCCCCGAGGACCACTCCTTCTGGCACTACGTGGGCTCCCTCACCACCCCTCCCTGCCAGACCGAGAAGGGACAGTCTGTGAACTGGTAGGTATCCGGCCCGCGAGATTGGGGGGCGATGCTCTCTTTTTCTCCTTCCTTCTACATCTTTCCGTTCGAGACTTCCGAATCTTCTTTCGTAGAAGACACTAGGCACGGCGATGCGCTCGAGTTTGTAGGCGAAGCCCACGCACATTGCCACATGTCCTCATTGTTCCCCCCGTCCCCCCCC